AGTCCCAGCTACTTGGAGGGCTGAGGTGGGAGGACTGCTTGAGTCTGGGGAGGTCAAGGCTACAGTGAACAATGCTTGTGTCATTGTATGGATCCTGTCTCAAATAAATAAATAAGTGGGTTTTTTCTTTCTTTTTTTGAGACAAAGTCTTGCTCCTGTTGCCCAGGCTGGAGTGCAATGGTGAGATCTCAGCTCATTGCAACCTCTGCCTCCCAGGTTCAAGCAATTCTCCTGACTCAGCCTCCTGAGTAGCTGTGATTACAGGCATGCGCTACCATGCCCAGCTAATTCTGTATTTTTAGTAGAGATGGGGTTTCTCCATGTTGGTCAGGCTGGTCTCGAACTCCCGATCTCAGGTGATCCACCTGCCTTGGCCTCCCAAAGCACTGGGGTTACAGGCATGAGACACTACACCCGGCCAATAAAGTGGATTTTCTAATATGAAAGACTATTTGGATTCCTGGCATACACCAATTTGGTCATGGTACACTGCTTTTTGAAATACACTGCTGAATTTGGTAATTTCTTTTTTTTTTTAATTACACAGATGTAGGTATGAAAATATTTTCTTTAGGATTTGTACATGACAACTCTGTGATTTTTCTTTTTTCTGGTATTGTTTTGGGCAGATTTTGGTATCAAAATCTTACTTGTCTCATAAAACAAGGTAGGCAGTATTCACTTGTGGGTGTGCTGTCCCACTCACTTCTATTCACTGGCAGAATTTGTTCAAGACTGGATAATCCATGTGCTGAAAGCTTGAAAGTCTGGTAGAATTCTTGGTAAAACTGCTAAAATGTGGTTTTCTTACTGGGAAGACTTATAGCTATTCTTTTCATTTCTTTAGTAGTTACTGGACCTTTCAGGCTTTCTATTTTTACCTTGAGTTGATTTTGCATTTCATCTCAGGTTTAAAATCAATTATAATGAAGTTGTTTCCAGTGGTCTCTTATTTTAGTCTCTGCAGTAACTGTAGTTATTTCTTCCTTTTCACTTATATATTTAAAAAACTAAAAACAAAAAACAAAACTTTTTTTTTTTTTGAGACAGGGCTCTTGTTGCCCTGGCTGGTGTGCAGTTGCACAATATCGGCTCACTGGAACCTCCACCTCCTGGGCTCAAGTCATCCTCCCACCTCAGCTGCCTGAGTAGCTGGACTACAGGCGCATGCCACCACATCTGGCTAATACACACACACACACACTCTCTCTCTCTCTATTTTGAGACAGAGTCTCACTCTGACGCCAGGCCAATCTCAGCTCACTGCAACCTCTGCCTCCTAGGTTCAAGCAATTCTCCTGCCTCAACCTCATGAGTAGCTGGGACTATAGGCGAATGCCACCACGCCCAGGTAATTTTTGTATTTTTAGTAGAGACGAGGTTTCACCACGTTGGTCAGGCTGGTCTCAAATTCCTGATCTCAAGTGATCCACCCACCTTGGCCTCCCAAAGTGCTGAGATTATAGGCGTGAGCCACCATGCCTGGCCTCCAGTTTAGTTTAGTTGAATTTTTACAATATAAATGAATGCTTAACTTTAGCAAAAACTGTTCTCCACCTAATATATACATATATAAATGATATTAAAAGTAGATATAATTTCCAGAAACATACAGAATTCTAATGATTTAGATATAAATTAATGAATTTTTGTATCGCATATTGTTATTCTGTATTATTTGAAACAAAGAGGTTAAAGTGTTTGTTTCCAGAGACAAAAATAAGAAATTTTAAAATAAAATTTTGTTGGCCAGGCGCAGTGGCTCACACTTGTTAACACAGCACTTTGGGAGGCTGAGGTGGGTGGATCACTTAAGGTCAAGAGTTTAAGCCCTGCCCGGCCAACATGGTAAAACCCCATTTCCACTAAAAATACAAAAATTAGCCAGGCGTGGTGGAGGGCACCTATAATCCTAGTTACTTGGCAGGCTGAGGCAGGAGAGTAACTTGAACCCAGGAGGTGGAGGTTGCAGTGAGTCAAGATTATACCATTGCACTCCAGCCTGTACGACAGACTCCATCTCAAAAAAGAAAAAAGTAAAATAAACAGGCCTGGCGCAGTGGCGCACACCTGTAATCCCAGCACTTTAGGAGGCCGAGGTAGGTAGATTACCTGACGTCAGGAGTTTGAGACCAGTCTGGGCAACATAGTGAAACCCCATCTCTACTAATAATACAAAAATTAGCCAGGTGTGGTGGTGTGCACCTGTAATCCCAGGTACTCTGGAGGCTGAGGCAGGACAACTGCTTGAACCTGGGAGGCAGAGGTTTCAGTGATCCAAGATCGTGCCACTGCACTCCAGCCTGGGCAATACAGTGAGATTCCCTCTCAAAAGAAAAAATAAAATAGATAAAATTTTGTTGCCATTAATAATTCACACAGTAGATAAAACATTATAGAATATAGTAGTATTAAAAGTTTGCCCATCAAGAAACAGCATGTATTTGAAATATTACTTTTCTCCTTAAAAGCATGCCACTCCAGTGTGTTCAACCATCAGCATATGTGAGGGTCACCTTGAAGGTTTTCAAGAACACAGATGCTGTCTCCGAGAATCTGATCAGGCAGGTCTAGGGAGGGGCCTGCCTGTATCCCCAGGAGACACTGCTGGCCCAGGACACCTTGAGAGCCACCGCCTCAGATGTGAAACAGCCACTTGGCGGGGAGGGGCGGGAGGAAGCCACTGTCAACAACAATTTTTTGACCACGTGAGGGAGAGGAGAAGTGACTGTGAGTGCTGGGACTGTGGGAGAGCGTGTGTGGCTGGCTGTCCTGCTACAAGGCTCTTCACTAGCCAGGCTGTCTGGCTTGCTAGAGCTAACTTCCTCCAAGACAACTACAAGTGCCACGTAAAGACAAAAAACCAAACATGTATGGCAAGCACACAACCACCACGGTTTCAGCCTCCTCATTTACCTTTTGAAATATTCCACTTCCCTCTCTGTCTCATCCATATCCACACTGTCTAGGTCAATATCTTTAGGTAGAAAGACATCATCTGTAAAACAAAAGAGAAGAAGCAAGTCAAATTACAGCAGCAGGCTATCTTATCAGAACAGAAGAAATCATTTGGCTTCACTCAATTTAAACTACTTCAAAAACTGTAAACATTTTCTCTGAAACGAGATTTTACAGAAGGCCAATGGAGGACAGATCTCTCTGGTGTGCTTATGAACACCCAGGTCTGACCTGGAAACCGCGGAACTCATGTGTGTGCTAAGCAAAGCAACCGTGGCTTCAGGTCCCATTAGAAGACACGTTTGCTAGAACCTGGACTCCCCATGTGACTGGTCATCACATGACAGGTAACCCATCAGAGAGCCCTTTAGCAAGAATATTCCCAGAAATCTGAACTGCATGCAAGCCCAGGGACTGCCCTAAGTCTCTGCTGGAGGCAGGCAGAGCATGGATGCCAGCAGAAGCTGGCATCCAGAGGGCAGGCCCAGGGGAAGGAAAGTGTTGTACCTCAAATGTGCCCTTGACAGGAAGAGGACCCAGATATCAACCCTACAGGAAGGTGATTCTCCCAGGCATTCATCTCATCCATATGACATCCAGAGATTTCATCAAAAACTTTTTGTTTTTTGTTTGAGATGAAGTCTCTCTCTGTCACCCAGGCACGATCTCGGCTCACTACAACCTCCGTCTTCTAGGCTCAAGCAATCCTCCTGCTTCAGCTTCCCAAGTAGCTGGGATCCCAGGTGTGTACCACCATGCCTGAGTAATTTTTGTATTTTTGGTAGAGACGAGGTTTCACCATGTTGCTCAGGCTGGTCTTGAACTCCTGGGTTCAAACAATCCACGCACCTTGACCTCCCAAAGTGCTGGGATTACAAGCGTGAGCCACTGTGCCTGGTCAAATATTCTTGAGTTATTCCAAACAAAAAGCAAGGCTACATTTCATGCTGCAGTTATACAACCATCTTTGAAACTAGGCAGGAGAGCAGGGAAATCATTGATTCAGGATTACTCAATTTCCTAGACTCTCAGGCGAGTTTGAGAATTTCCACCCCACTCTTCTGCTCTGTTCACTCATCTAATTCAATCTTGAGTACCTTCCTGGGGCCTTATGTGAGCCTTGAGTATCAAAGAGGCTCCATCAGCACACATCTGAGCCGGGGCAGGGGTCAGGGAAGCAGTGCACACAGCATCCAGCCCCATCAATGTGAACAAAGAGGACGGGGACCAGTGACAGTTCTTTGTTAAAAGCGAGTCTCCATTTCCCCACAGAACCTCAACATGGGACAATTTTTCAGAATCTTTAATAAACTCCCCATTTCTTTCTAATACTGGAGAATTTCCACAGTAGCGTAAGGCATGTTTTACTTGTGTAACAGCAGCTAACATTTTTTTTTTTTTTTTTT